AACCTAAAAACAGGGCACTAACACCAATAACCGCAATTATACACTGTGGTGTAAAACTTTGTTAATGGCATAAATACTGTTATTGTTAAAACTATATAGAAAAATAACTAAATAAAGTTCGCTTGCTAACAGAATTATAAAAGTACAGTTATTTAGTTCTTTACCAGACTTGTTCCTTTTATATGTGGTGCTGTATTGCTGTGTTTTTACCTCTGTGTATATATGCGTATATATAGGGAACGAGCGAAGGGAGGGGGTGTTTGGAGTTGCAGCTGAAGGGGAGCTAGAGAAAGGGGTTGCTTGTCACACTTCTTTTGCTCTACAGCAGTGAGCAACCACATTGCCAGATTAAATTTGTGGGGAGAGCTGCAATAAATGAAGTGGGGGAAAAAAAACAAAAGTGATCCATTCTGTGGCCATACAATATATGAATAATCTGTAGAAAAAAAAATGAAAATAAAAAAGTCTTCGCATTGAGATAAGCAGAAGCTTTGGCTCATATCCTTGGCTTTCTAAATGTTGTATTTATAAAGTGTTGTAGCAATTATAGTGAGGTATTCAAGGTGTGCATGGGTTTCTCTGTTTTATCTTAAATGAAGCCTAAGCGGAAGTGCAACTGAAGAAACTGATTTAGTTAGTCACCCTGATATGGCTCTCCCCTTTTGGGAATCTGAGTTTTTAGTTTACAGTTATCAGTTGTTCTGTTTTTGTTCTTTGGTTTATTTTCCATTATATTCACGCATTCTTTAGTTACTCTCTTTTGCCCCCTTGTGTTGTTTTCATTTCCCTTGGCTTCCTTCTTGTTAGTTTCACTCACGCCTGCTACATATTCAGCTCATTAGCCCCTCCTTTGTTTTGTTCCCCTTATATACTCCACCCCTGCAGGTACTCAGTGCTGGTGCCTTGTCGTTGTTGTTGTGTTTGTAGTTCATTCCTCATCCCTGGCTTCCCACATGAGTTTAGTATTTTGTATTTTTGGATGTCTGCCTAGGTTTTTATTAAATCTACACGTTTCACCTCTGCCTCCTGGTCTCTGCATTTGGGTCCTCAACCAACCTCCAACCATACTGTGTTGCGCTATATCACAATTGATTTAGATGACCCAGATTCAACCCAACTCTATCCCCTTCTGCACCATCGTAGGTAAAGATTAATCTGATTTTTCCATGGTGCTTCGTCTACTTCGTCCTCATCAGAGTGTAATTCCTCCCAGACATTTACTATGTTCCCTTTCTCAACCGGTCCGGCAGAAGCCCGGCATGTTGAGCCTGGTTCTGCCAGAGGTTTCTTTCCAAAGGGGAGTTTTTCATTCCCACTTCGCTTCATGCTTGCTCATCGTGGATAGGTTAGGTTTATGCAACCTCTGTTTTTCCAAGCTGGACTTCCAGATCCCTGAGTGAAGCACTAATCAGCTCACACTGTCTACTGGGTCTCACCTATACAGCTCAAGCTTACCATCTTGCCAACCAAGATTCAGTGCTAATGTTTCCTGCCGAGGTGTGAGCTCCAAAGACTAAAGTACCTATATCAATAAAATGATTCTAATTGTCTAATTTTTGCGCCCTATCCAGGGTGTAGCATGCCTCTCGCGCGTAGGCTGGAGATAGGCACCAGCACCCTTCACGACCCCGCTTGGGATAAGCATAACGGAAAATGGATGGACGTCTTTTTGTTTTCAGGTGAGCTTTTCAGATTGAATTGAGTTCATGGCTATATCTGTTCATTTGAAGGTATACGTGCTCACTAAGAAAGACATCACTTTTAAAACAAGTGGTTTCACAGTGGGAAAATTACAATTTTGAAACTGGCGCACCCACTCTGGGTTTTAGTTAGAGGATTTAATTTGTCTGCAGCTCAGTGATTTCACTTTCAAACACATGTTGTAGTGTTATGAACAGTTGAAGTCTTCTGTCGGAATAAATGAAAAGATGAAAAGCAAAGCATGAAATAATACCTGCAGAAGACTCGTATTTAAAATGGTCATTAATGGTGACGAATTATGTTCTACTAAATGTTTGCAGGGTAAGTCGCAGGGACAGGGACACTTGGCAGCACTTAGGTTGCCTCAGGTATTGAGCTGCTTGATTAAATTAGGTTTCACTTCTGAAATGTTTTAAAGAAAGCACAAGCCTTTTATGTTTCCATCAGCCTAATAAAAAGAATCCATCTCCTGAATTTGAAGATGAAAGAAAGATAGTAAATTCCTTTGTTGAAGTAAAGACGGAGAGCATGTTTCATTTCATTTTAGCCATGCAACATTTACTCGAGATTTTGCATCATACTCCCACTGTCGAACTAGTCTAACTTTAGATTTTTTAATTTTACCAGTTAAGAATTGTCAACACCGGAACTTGAAACACAATTTTATTTTCTCAAAATGTTTTTTTAAAGGTATTGTGGAGGATTTTTGAGAATTCTTTAAAAGACCCGGCCTCTCCACGCATGTGAGAGCATGCACAAGTCCATTTCTCCTCGTGCACACTCTGTTTAAAAGTTGCTGTTCTCATAGCTCATACAAGCTTAGTGTGTCTGAACTTTCACCCTAACCTCTAAATTCCTCCATCACTATATAGAGCGATGACTATATAGTGGACTTCAGTGTGAACTCGGTTAACTGACCGTTTTGACAGATGATCACTACTTTTTGATCCCAGTTGATCACGCAACTCCACCAGTGCCTCTTTGTTATTAGTCGCTGCTGTCGGGTAGTGAATGGCCTATGGATACTCCAGGCTGCTTTGATAGCGAATCCTATAATGCTTTACTAGGAGAGCTCTCCACACAAAGGATTCTGGGATATATCTGCCTCTTCTTAGGCTTTTCTTTTCTTCTAATACACTTCTGGACAATTTTCCTCTTACGACCCTTGGCCATTTTCTAAAAACCGAAAATGATGAGCTTGTCATGATCACGATTCTGATAGCTGACCTAATTGCTCATTTCACTCACCTGTCTTACTCTTCCTGCTACTGTATATACGGCTCAGTCCCTGCTATCGCGGCGAGATCATTGTTTTTTGAGTTTGTCTTTGAATTTGACTTGGAGATTTCGTTCCTGAGTTTGACTTTGATACCATAGTTCATGTTTTCCTTCTCGAAGGCCAGTGGTGTGAGAGGTTTCTAGTATTGTTGTAGTGTTCCTGATCATGTCCTGCCTCTTATCCACTGAGCATGCTCTGTTCATGTTATTGGCTCAGTTGAGGGAGCTAGTTTTAACATACTATAGTTTTTGTGATATCATGCCTTGTTCTGCCTCTCAACTACTGTGCTTGCCTGCTCCCATCTGAAAGTTCTGCCTGAACTCTCTGTTGGAACCCTGAGCCTGCCTGAGCTGTCTGTGGATTCCTGAAACCCTGGTTCTGCCTTTTTCTGTTTTGATCAGAACCCCTGACCAGGTTGAAAGGCTTATTTTAACCAATTATCTTTACAATTAATGTGTTTCTCCATGACAGCCATTCATCAACCATTACTCCAAGGAGCTTTACCTCTTTCACTTTCTCAATTTCCAACCTCTATACATAATATGAAGTTTACACTATCTTAAATAGAATCTTCTTTGTTTATAATACAATCAAATTCAGTTTGTTCTCATTTATCCTTTCCTGTAGCAACTGTTGGTCAGACATGTAAGATAAATAAATAGAGTACACAGTGAGTCATCATACCTGAAGAGCGCTGTAAACAAGTGATGGCCTTGTTATCTGATAGAAACATGTAATTTTTATCTTTTATATATTTTTGCATGTTTGGATTTGCATGTAACGACTGAATTTCCACAATATAGGACAATAATAGAGAATTCAACATGCTTAGTGTTTTTTTTGTTTTTTTAAAGCACTGGTAATTTATGAAGTTCACTTCTACCATGTCCCCAGATAAATACCCAAAGAGGTGCATCCCCTATTTTGGGAATCCCTGGGCTAATGGATATGCTCACAATTAGGACAAACATATATTGCTTCTGCAATATAGCCCAGGAATAATTTATTTAATTATTCTGATGTCTGTGTCCTGCCTCATTACCATATTTTTTAATAAAGTCTGATCTGCATTTTGTGCTTTTACTAAAAGAGCCTCTAGATCTGAAGCTCCTTCAAACCTGGAGGGTTTATATGCAAAATAATAAATGAACAAAAAAACAATTACAATCCTTTTTACTATGGTACAACAATCAACTCTAGTTACTCTTTGAATATTTGTGTTAATGACAGGAACACAAGAGCTCTTGACAATTGCAGTGAATAAATTATTCATTCTGGCCAAGGAGCATCTCAATGTGTCATCTATTTTCAAAATGGAGATTCAGTTATAAAACACTGTATGCTGATATCCAATCTCTCTCTTGTTTCCAAGCCTGGTACAACATCGCTGTGTGATTCTTCTTATAATGCAAATTATTTTAGAACACCTTGCTTCAGAATTTTTTTAAAGCCCTAACTGGACATTAACTAAACATTTTGATGTGGATGCTGTTCAGTGTTGCTATGGAGAGAAAATTTTAAACATTTTACAAAATGTAAAAAAAAAAAAAAAAACATCCAGCCTTTAAACTCAACACTTTCGACTCCCCAAAGCTGTGATATTTCCCACCATTGGTGTTTCCATTCCAGTGAGGCGGAAAACTCTATGCTCTGTGTTTCTACATTAACGAAAAGACGCCAGGCGCCGAGAAGTCAGCTATAAAATTAATTCAGCTATGAAATAGAGCAGCGTGGGTAAAAAGATGTACTGACAGCCTTGAGTTGAGTCACTATCACTGCTACGAGGCAAAGTGACATGACATGATTAGCTTCATATCGTTGGAACCAGTTTTAGCTTCTTTAGGCTTGGCTTATAAAACAATGGAAGTTAATAGCTAACAAACACAAGGGAACTATCTTGAAAATTAGTCTTTGGTCATGTTTTTGGCAATCAAAGGTAATAAGCACATGAGGGAAGACATACAAATTATAATAGTTATTTAAATGTTTTAAACTCTTAGTGAAATAACTCTTGTTTTATTATTATTTCATTGAGCTCATTACATGTCAGTATGGGGAACCATGTGGTCAACATTCGTTTCTTGTTAGTAGTTACATAGCAGGAAACAACAAAACAACTGCTAAATATTTCAACATGTTGTGACATAGTGTGACTCTTACATTGAATAAGGTGACAAAAACAGATAATTGGGTGAACCAGATATTTCTCATGTGTATACGAAATAGGAGAATGTATAGAATGGTACACCATACTTTTCAGAACTTCATTTAGGAACAAAAAATAATGCCTTTTGCCACACTTCAAATTGTGCATTACTTTGTGCAATGATATCCCACAGAAACTAACAAAATATCTAAAGAACCAGGAAAACATTAGTGAACAATAAAGGTAAGGAGTAAGCGGTGCCTAAAACACAATATTAAGAGAGATTTAAGAAGGTGAATAATAATAAAAAAAGTTTATTATTATTTAACTTTGTATTATTCTTGTTATTACAACTAACCTGAATTGAATGGAAATGAAAAAAAAAATTGTGCAGGCAAGGTTATATAATTCAGTGAAAAATTTGGAGAGGTAAGGTTATGGATTTTGTGAAAGATTATCTGCACAAGATTATCATCAACAAGGAGGATCGTAGGGGTGAAATGGTTGTGGGGGATCAACAGTGGTGACCCACGAAAAGAGCAACTATAGGAAGAATATACAGAAATACAACTCTGTAAAGCAGATACAGAATACACCAAAGATTCACATTTTGTACTGGTAGATTTTTACAGTATAGATATGTACTGTGAACATACTGCTGACAAATACTAATTCTAGACATACACACATGGAAGACACTTAACTACCAGAGTAGTAATCATAGTAGGCTCAATTCCAGCTTTCTCTTGCCAGGTGTCTTTGACCCTTGGGAGGGCATTTGACCCCAAGTTACCTGTCCTTTGATATATAATGATTGTTAGAACGCCAAATGTAAAGGATTTTGAGAGGTCATACTGACTTGATGTAATGGTTTCTGCAATGATTCTGGCCTGATCCCTCAGTCCATACACCTGCTCTGCTCCACCCGTCTGCAATCAGCTCTGACCGGAGTCACCTGTTTTCAGAACTTTAAAAACCCCATCAGATCAGTCCTCTGTGCCAGATTATCTTGAGCCAACCCGCTACGAATAGTAGCATCAAAAAGAGTACCTGACCGCCTATCTGTTTCTGACCTGATCTGCCTCCTGACTCCGAGCCTGCCTGACCCCTGTTTGATTCTGCCTGCCTAATTACCCTCTCTGCTCTGCCTCTGGATCACCGGATCCCTGTGTCGTTCTGATCGGCCTGCCTGCTCCCCTCTCTCTGGATCTCTGACTCAGAAAAGCTCCGCTAAACTGCCTGTCTCTCCATCCTGGATCTAACTTTTAAACCTCCCTCAATCTGCCCGCCTGTCTACCTGCAGCCTGTTTGCCCACACAGATGCAGCCCTGCTATCAGAGTAACCCTTTCAATAAACCAATCAAAACGTTACTAACCTGTCTTGGTTTATTTGGATCCAGTCTCTGTCTCATTACACTTGACCAACCCTATATACCATATCGACCTGATTATAGGGTGTGCTGGATTATAAGGGAGCTGCTGTATTCCCATGTTCTGTTGCGTGACTGAATGAGTTTGAAATATGCGTTGTGTCTCTTGACAGAAGCAACGTTTTGGGCCTTATTCAAACTCACTGTTTTATTATAGTGAAGCACAGCATGTATAACTATGCCCTACTTCTGACTATGGTGGATGTAATGTTACAAGCGCTGTGGCTTTGTAGTTTACCAGAGTCATACTAAAAGATTTTGACAGGGTGCTGTGTAGCATACAAACTCACTTTAAAGTCAGTAAGCATAACCAAAATGAATCAATGTATAAGGTACTCCCGATTCTGAGAAAATGTAAAACTTTTAAGTGCACCTTATAATGCGAGACATAAACACCAACCAGTTTATCAACGATATCCATACATCTTTTTTCCATATTAGAAATAACAGAAAACCTAGCCATAAAAAAGGAATATCTGTAAACAGAGTTAACAGCTTTGATTAAGAGCTACTCAGTGCACTTGCAGCGTCTTCATTTATGTTGAATCTATTTGATGTTTGACCACTGAGTTCCTCCTGCTCTGTCACTGGTTCATTGCTCCCATGTAAGGAATTCTTCATCACGCTGTAATAAACCGGCATGTTGTACTCTGCCTCCCTGCCTTGGTAGCGGCACCTACAGAGCTTTTTGAATGCAATGCGGAACTTCTGTGACATGAGGTTGTAAACAATGGGGTTTATGGCGCTGTTGGTATAGATGCACATCCGGCAGAAGAGGAGGAACCAGATGTTGTGGTAAGGAGGGTCGATGAAGGAGTTAACCACCACCAATGTTCGGTAAGGCATCCACAGCATTGCAAAGAGGATCACCACCACAGCGAGCATTTTTGTTATCTGTGGATAACAAAGGAAGACAACTTAGATAAGTTTATTCTGCAAAGTAAATTTGCAACATAACAGGGAAGGAAAGCTCAAGATTTTCTATAAGGTAGGTGCAAATGTTATGCCAGTTTGTTCAATATAATGGTAGCAAAGATGGTTCTAAAGCAAGTTTTTGATAACAACTTTGTGTTAATAGATGCTGGATGTACCATCGGGGGTTTAGTTTTTTCCTCTTTTAAAGCCATCCATCCATCCATCCTATTTTACGACCCTTGAAGTGTAGTGTGGAGGCTAGTACTTCAACCTTCAGTGTGCAAGGTAGTCACCACTCAATCTCTTAGTAACAAACAGAGAGACAGGACAACAACCATGCACAAAAAAAAACTCATACCTGAAGATAATTTATAAGGGGCAAATAACCCAAAAGATCATTGTTGGACTGTAGGAGAAAGCTGGAGTAAATGGAGAAACTTAGAAGAACTGGCATGACTGGATTTTATGACACCAGAGCATTACAGAAATATAATAAAATTATTTATGGGTAGGAGTGCAAGAAAGTTTGCAGTTGGCAGCATGCCATGATGAGACTTATTTCTTTAAAAATTCACAAAGACAATTTTCTTTTTAGCCTTTAAGCTTTCATTTTATTCTATGATTGATAATCAATGTTTTTAGGCTGAAATGAAAACTTCTGGTTCTGGTTCATGCTTCTAAAAAGCTGCAATGTTTGGTGGGTTTAATCATTTACTAGTTCAGCTAATAACCTAAAATGCAGTCATGATCTTGGTGCTGATGACTAGCTTAATTATTAATTCCATTCCCCTGTCCAACTCTGCCTGGCTTCTAATCATTGCTCATCTGATACACCTCTTCCTGCCTCTATTTAAGGTACTTGCATCCAGTTACCAGGGCTAGAATATTCTTGCTCTCTCCAGCCATTGGTGAGAGTGTTTTTAGAATTCCTTGGTGTTTCTGAGTTCCTGATCCTGACCTGTTCTGCCTTTCAACCACTGAGCCTGCCTGTTCTCATCTGAATGGTTTGCCTGAATTGTCCTTGGATTCCTGGACCTCTGAGCCTGCAACAGACACAACCCTCTGGGTTGTGTCTGTTGCATCGTGTTGGCAGCCCACTGGCTGGATCCTACCTTGTTCTCTGGGCATGGACTAAACTTGTAAACCAGGTTAGTGACTCGTGTTCATAATCTTCCTTCATTAGATTTACATGGTCACAAACCTGTGTTTCCTCTCCCTAGAGTTTCCTACCTCAGATGCCCTCGCCGCTGCTACTGTAGATCCACAACCTGTTTGTTTTAAATGAATGCTTTTGACTAATCCCAATGTCTATCTTGCCTGAATACTGGTTCCTTTTGGACACATACACTGTGATGCTGACAAATAAAACATAATAAATGAATATGCATATGGACGGTGGCTGGAAATGCTCCTTTGTAATTCTGAGTTTGATGTTTAAGTCATTACAATACCATACTTCATCCTTAAACCCTCTGGTTTGATCAAAGACAACATTGTATCTTTTCCTAAAACAGATCATCCAAACCCATGTAGATTTTAGTTCCATTTCACTCAATATATATTAAATAGAATACGAATATTGAGTTAGCGGAACACTAAAAACACATATCTGAAAATTGTAGCGGAGGATGTTCTTTTTCCAGGTGGATCATCAAAAATAAGTTGTCCTCATTGTCAATCATTCTGCTGATATGATTACGTAAGGCCGTCCAACGTGCTCATCCCCATTTTCACTTACTGGTGGTGAGTTTGACATACTGGAAAATAGCAAATGTTCATTTGCAAAGTAAGCTTGTATGAGTGATGCAAACAGCAACTAATAAAAAGTGTGCACAAGGAGAAATGGGCTTGTGTATGCTCTTGCATGGATTTAATAGGCGTTCTCTCTAAGAGCAGGTACAGGGTTGTGCATGTGCATTTTTTTTTTTATGGAGAGGGTGGGTCTTTTAAAAAAATTTGCAAAAATCCTCCATGGTACATCTAAATGCTGACAGGCTGGTAACTAAAAGAGAATTTCACAAAACAAGCTTAGTACCTGTTTTCGTGCAATCACAGCTCCTTTGTTGGCCCTGTTGGTGCTCTGGGAGTGACCTTGATGAATGGATCCTCCTCCTGCCTGGTCATTTAGATTGGATGGGAGAGGACTCATGAACAAAATCCTCGCAATAAGCCCATAGAGCACAGTGGCAACAATAAGAGGAACCACATAAAAAAGAGTAAAGTCAAGAAAGTAGATTGGCATGTAGAGACTCCTTGAGACACGGTAAGCACATGTAACAACCACCCCATTGGTGTAGATGGTTTCTTCAGTGTCTGCCAAGAAGAACCACATTGTACAGTAGAGCGAAGTAAAGATCCAGATTCCAGCTATAATCCTTTTGGCTCTAGAAACTGTGCATATGAACTGTGCCTTTATTGAGTGACAAATTGCTATGTAGCGTTCAATTGTGAATGCTGTGATGGAGCAAGACGACACATTGATGCCCAGATATTGAAGATACGTTATGCACAAGCAACCTGTGTAGCCGTAAATCCAAAAAGCTACTACATTTGAGATATTCGGTAGGCCTGCAGCCAGGAGCACAATGAGATCTGCCACAGCTAAGCTAACGAGGTAGCAATTTGTTGGTGTCACCATGTGTTTGGTGCGCAAAACAACAAGCACAACCATGGCATTTCCAGCAATCCCAATGCCACAGATGAGCACTGTTAAAAAAATGGTTATGACTTGTTCCTCAACAGAGTTCAGAGGCATTGCCGTCAGATTTAAAACCCGAGCAATATCTTGGAAAGTAGTGGTGTTGTTCTCCATCTTTACTCCAGTCCAGCAGGAATATTCCATTAGTCTTCAAAGGTGAGAATCCTCAACACAGAAAATGAAGGGAACAGGGTTAGAAATACAATAGAGAGGACAGTCCATCCACTGTCTATAGAGCAGTACAAAAAAAAGAACATGATAATAATTAATGATTATTATCTTATTTTAAGAGGAAAACATCAAACACAATTTGTTTGAATACACATTACGAATAACAACTTTTAACCTTTGTATAACTTTACCACTCTGAAGTTGCTATTTACTATCCTTGCAATAGGAATGGATATTTTAAATTAGACTCAATACAGCAATTCTGCAACATGAAACATTGTCTATTTCTTAAGTTTTAATCCAAATAGCTTTACTATTTCTTAATGATTATATTTGGTTAACCCCCTATTGATCCTGAAAACTGACTATATCTGGATTGAACTGGAGTTAGATAAGAAAGAAAGAAATAACTTTGTTTAATTTTGATGTGTTTGTCTATAGTACTTTTAGATGTCATTAATCCTGAATTTCCCTTACAAGCTGTCTTACAAGCTTTTTTCTCCTTTTCTCAATTGTCTTTGTGAATTGAAAACTGAAGCATTTCCTTTATTTCTTCATACACACTCATGTAAATATAAGTTAAAGAGAAAAAATAAAATACAGAACCTGAACTAAACTCAGAGATGGGAACTATAACAGTACACATTTTAATATTTTGTTATCATTGAAATATTGTTAGAAGAACCAATGGTACAATGACTGTAGTGCTGCAACACAAAAAAAAATTTTCATTGGTTCATATCCTCTAAATCCAATATTATTTAAGGGTAGGAGTGCAAGAAAGTGAACAAATGTAAAATGAATATAATTGTAACTAAATCAAAAACATATATAAAAACCAAACATAAAACTAATCACTTGCAAGTAGATAATAATAGAAAGCTCACCATACTTTAGGTCGAATGTCGCAGGTTTTATTCAGTCACGGCAGCAGCACTCAGGTATGGAACCGCTGTGTTCTCCTGCAGCAGAGCTCATCTCTTCATCATCTCTCTCTTTTCTATTTTCCCACTCGACATCTCCCTCCCTCTCCCACCCACTGCCATTGTATGAAGACTTGTTCGGTCTTTGTTCTAATAATCAATTTCACCTTGCTATTAAAGACTTTAAATGCTGACGCAGCGGGGGGCGTAGCTTTATGTTTTACTAGTTGAACAGGCAAAATTTAAAGTAAATTCTAAGGAGTTTGTTGTTTTGTCCCATAGAGATGTAAATTACCTGACACGCCCTCTTCTTTAGCAGCTAATTTAATGAATGCGGTCAAATAAAAGGGACTTTGTAGGATTAAAATTGCTACGTTTGGTTGAGTGAGATTAACAAACAAAAAAAAATATGGAAGACATTGTATATTGGTCAGTGGTGGCAAGTAAAATAGTACATTTACTTGATTATTGTACTGAAGCACTTTTTTCGAGTATCTTGAGTAATTTTTTTGGGAGGGGGGTACTTTACTACTTTACTAACTTTTACTCCACTTTGTTTTAAAGTCAAATATTTTACTTGCTTCTCCACTACATTTCAAGCTGGTGGTTGCTTGTTCCTCCTGGCTGAGCTTAGCTTTGTAATCCACTGTTGCTGATTTTCTTGAAATGCAATTTCAGCATGGCACATAGCAGCCTGTACGACTGAATTTAGACACCACAGTTTTAGAGACTTGCATTACATTCCACAAATGTGTGGAACTCAGGGCAGATATGATTTACAGTTACAGTAAATTTTAAAAGGTGTTAGTTGTTGCCATGTGGCCAAGTTGTATAGTAAGATGATTTCTTAAAGCAGAGTTGCAGTTTCTTTTTGCTAATAGATTCAACTTAAACCTTTAATGCATAGAGATAGTATGAGGAGACTTTGAAGACTTTCCTTTTGGTTTGTTGTTAAATAAGAAATAGTAATCAAAATAGCTGTTCTTCTATTTACGTAGCAGTAATGCATAATTGTGCATAATTATAATAAAGCAATTTATATGCAGGAAACAAGTTGAGCAATATGGCAATTGCCATACTGCTACACTTGTGAAAGTAAAATCTGTTGGGCTCTTTTTGGCATCAAGACAATTATTCTTATTGCCACATTGCCAGACAGGACACTGTAAAAAAATAAAAATAAATAGCTGTTCTTATTTTTTGTGGCCTTTTTTATGCTGAAGTTCTCTACAAGTGGTGTAGAATTTGCAGCGGAGGTTCTATGAATCAATACATCAGGTGGTTTCTAAAAGTTACGAGGTTCTTTGAAATTTCTCTGAAAATGTACTGATATAGGAAAATTTTATTTGGATTATTAAATACATAAGTAGTGCATGTACTTATGGGTACTTAAGTGTTTTTAAAAGTGTGCACTTTTATACTTTAACCTGAATAGATGTTTGACAGAGTGACTTTTACTTGAAGTTGAGTAAGAGTTGACTATGAGTATTAATACTTTTACTAAAGTACTAATGTTGAGTACTTCATCCACCACTGATATTGGTTAGATTACAGGATTTCACATTTCAAGAATGTCAACATTTTCTGGCTCTAGCCAGGTTCCACGAGAATTTAACTCTTGCCCTAAATGAAAGAAAAAACATAGATTTAACACAACCCTCTACTGCAACTACTGTAGTACTTAAGGGATAAAGTGAAGCCAGGTACTGGTACTCAAATGCAGTTCATTAATTAATTATCCTTTGAGGTAATCTCTCATATATATATATATATATATATATATATATATATATATATATATATATATATATATATATATATATATATATATATATATATATATATATATATAGTATATTTCGGAATAAAACAACTTGACTTTTAGTTATTTTTTTTTCCTCATTGACATTTACTGGTGTCCTCCATACTCAGACTTATGGTCCCATCCAGGGGCATCCCTCTCCAGGGTTAGACCCCTCTGGTGTTCTCTCTCCAGGCTTAGAACGCCTTAGTGTTCCCTCTCTAGAGACCCCAAGCAGGCTCTGTGCCGTCCAGAGACTCCCTAAGCCTACTGATGTACTAGTCCCTAAAATAGAGCTCAATGAAGGCTCGTCCTCAAGGTCCTCAAGGCCCCCCCAGCAGCCACTCCTCACCCTCAAAGGCCCTTAGCAGGAGCTTCTCGCCTCCAAGGCCCCTCAGCACGGACTCCTCGCCTCTTCATGGGTCCCAAGCTCTGCCGCCTCTTTGTGCGTCCCAAGCAGTGCCGCTGCTTCATAGGCTCCTGTGCCTCAGTCGGAGGTCCCAAGGCTCCTGTGGCAAAGTTGGCATTCACCAAGGCTCATGTGCCACAGTTGGTGGTCCCCAAGGCTTGTGTGCTGCAGTCTGGGGTCCACAAGGCTGGTGTGCTGTAGTCTGAAGTCCCCAAGGTTCGTATGCTGCAGTTGGCAGTCCCCAAGGCTCATGAGCCACAATCGGCAGGCTCCAAGGCTTAAGTGCAGCAGTCGGTGGCCTCCAAAGTTCCTGCTGTAGAGATGTCGTACTCCGGAGGTCCTCTGTTGCTGTCCTCATGGCCTGCCTCCAGAGACTTTGCTTCGTCTCTGGCCTCTCGGCGGGCCTCCAGGGACTATGCTTCACCTCAGGCCTGATGGCCTTGGGCCTTCAGAGAATTTTTTTTTTTTGTCCTCGCCCGCCTTTGGTGGGTTGGTTTGTGTTTGGACTATATTTTAGAGTTTTATTTCATATGTCAGGTCTTCGCTGTCTAAATCGTAAATATGTGAATGGGCCATTAACCTTGTGTCTTTTCCTAACTTTCCCCATATTATAGGCTAGCTTACTTTTCTTCCCATTATTCCTCGAAAAAAGTTATCCTTTATACTTGTCACAGTTGTTTTAGTTATTACAAGCAAACTTTTATCAAACTACTGTGCTAAAAAAACAGTCAGTCTGATCAGACAAGTCAAGAGAGGGAGTCGTTTTTCAGACCACCACCCTCACCTGGTCAACCAAGTAGGGTCTGAGGAAGGAAATTACAATGAATCACAAAAGGCAATTGTCCATTTTTTTGTGCCAATATTTTATTAGCTTCCCAGATTTGAAGGGATTTAATTTTAATGGAAGACGGTCATTTATATTTCATATTTATATTTTCAGTAATTTAACTTTTTGTGGACAAATAAGTGAATCTAAATTTATTTTATTTTATTTTCAGTGCTTCTCTATAAACTTTTATGTTTTTCTTTACACAAACTTTGAAATGATAACCAAAAATTTAATTAAAAAAACATAGTTTTATATAAATCCGAATCAGCATTTTTCCACTGGCCTACTGTAGGCCTGCTGTGGGGGGGCCCTATGATATTTATTTAATGGGGCCCAAGATCCCCGAAAGCACCCCTGATCCTATCACCTGCATACAGTCGATTTATTTATATAGCTGCAATTAACAACACATATAATCTCAAAGCACTTTACAGTGACAAATCAAATTATTTTTGAAACCCAACATTGTTTTAAACTTATATCTGTCAGCAAATTCTAACTTGCTTCACAAATGATCAAAAATACAAGTATTTTTATAGAAATGTAAATTCATATAAATGCACAATGATGCCATTTTTAGACATTTTGACTTACAAGATGGAAAAAGTTATTCACAAGACATTCTGAATTACAAGCTGAAAATCAATAACTGCTTCCTGTGCCTCTGACGCAGATTAGCTCCAACCACCCCCATCTAAACAGAAACAAAAAATGAGCTGCAAGAAACACTAAATGATGTTTTCCTGAAGTCTCTATAATAGCCTCTGTCAGCTTTCTTTCAGTGTGAAACATTTGAGGTTAAATAATAGTAAAACTATGCAATGTCAAATGTATTATCTGAAAGCAACACTTTTTATTTGTTGACATAAATAGTTCGGGAGGCTTTGAAATAAAAAAACCTATATGTTAATTGTCAAGCTTGAAATATTCTAAAAAATAAGTAATTAACTTGGAAATGTTTTGAACAGTCTTGAAGCAATCTGGAATAGTGATTCATACATCACAAGTTTTTAATGCTTTAAAATGATTTTTTTCCCAGAATCCAGCCTGACAGAAAAAGTTTCCTTACACTGCTCCGTTCCCAGGATGATCATTTGGAATACTAATGGAAGTTTTGTCGATTTTCTAATTAATGGCATTCCGCCTTTGGGCTACCTGGTATGAATACATAACAGCTTTGGAGAAGAAAACATCATAACATCATTATTCTATCATCTCTGTACATAAAGATATATTTGCAGGGCAAAATGTTTGGTATGCAGAGGAAGACATGCTTGGGTTACAATTTATTTTATTATTTATAAGGCTTGCTGGTTCTAATTTAGATCAGACTAAATGAACCACAATGATTTTGGAAAAAATATAGATAATGGAATAGGGTGGTGCAACTATATTCTTGTGCTATTAAGATCTTTTTATATATAACACTAATGCATTGTGATTGACTGATACAAGGTTTAAGCTAATTTAGTTTTAGAATTTTCTCTAACTACATGAGATTTGTAAAGCAGACCTAAAAATGGGGAATTGTTTGCCCAGGTGACTTTTCAGAGAATCACGAAGTGGACACAATGTCAGGAGCAAAAAATAGATTGTTAGGAAGTTTTCTATAAATATCCTTGAATGAGTTCTTAAAATAAAATCCTCAAGCCTCATGGGAAGCATTTGATATGCAAATTACCTTAGAAAAAAAATATCTTTTATAATGTATTATCTATTCTGAACAGCGTGGTGAATATTATGGTACCCAGATAAAACAGGAACATTTAATATATATTATCTATTTAAGCCAATCAAAGAATTTACTTAATCTGTTATTGTTCATTTCCTGCCTTGTGCTTGCTTTATATTTCTTGATGTACAGTGTCATCTAGTGGGGCTGAAATGTTAAAACCACAATAAAGCCGCAATGACACCATATTTCACCCTAAATAAAATTTTAAAAAAGAAAGAAGGAAATACATTGATGTGTGAAGAACTTTGATGGGGGAAATACAGCTGGTGGTGGGCCTGTTTCCTGTTCTATATGGGTTTCATATATATCC